TTGAGGGCACTTACTGTCTCACAGGCACTCATAATCTCAGAATCCTGGGACCTGACATTGTTCCCCACACATATTGTAGTTATGTAGTACATTTTTTTAAAAAGAGAAAAAGAGAAAACAGTTGATCAGTCTTGGGCCTCAGATCTCCTTCAGTATGAGATAATAGGTTGGAAGTAGTACAGAGGGAGAAGCAGGGATGTAGTCATTATTTTAACTTTCTTGCTCTGGGTCTGCAGATTTGACTTCTGGATTAGATTGGTCTTTTGTGGTTCAGATTTCCATTGTGAGGTGCTAGCAGTTTTCTGTCCCTGTTATTTGTCTCCTCAGCTCTTTGAACCAAAGCAGAACATGAACCTACAGTTTTACCTATAGACGAAAGTGTTCTGCAGGACTATCCACAGGATATTTAATTTTTAAAAACTGAATGAAGTTCAATCCACAGATTGTAAATTATAACACCAAAATATCATTTAGAAGGGTTTGTCCCTCACCAGACCAAATGCCCCTTTGGCTTGTATGCCTCACAAAGTTAGAGCCCTGAAATAAATTGCTGATTTCTATTTCTCTAGGCTTTTACTTCCCTATATTTGGTTGATTTTTTTTTTTTTTTAAACATACTTTTCTAATTTAGGCCTTATTTTCCTGAAGTCAGAGCCAGGCTAAATACAGACATCAGTGAATTTCTCACAATTCTTCTCTGAGAATTAAGGAAAGAAATCCAGATGCTATGCCCTCTCCTGTCATGTTTGGAATGCTTACCTGTGCCAGGACCAGTTGGCTTTCACAAAGGATGAAGGCCTCCAGGCTAAGAACTGCTGTTACCCACCTTCAGTTCCCTAGCACCTAGTGTACTGTTTGACACACAAGTTTTTAACAAGAATATTTTTATAGCTTCCTCTCAAGGTCATATCCTTTTAAGTAGAGACTAGTAAGTACTTGTCAAAATCAGTGTAGCCACCTATCACAAGGTTCTCTCATCAACAGATTGAGGAAGATATATAAACACTTCAATATTATTTGAACATAAGTAGATAAACTAGAAGAATCTAGATACTGATTAAGCGCAGGACAGAAAAACAGTGCATGAAGCTTAAAGGTTCTTAAAGGGTTTTCAAAAAACAACTTAAAATTACCTATAGTTAGGCTATTTTATTTTTGCAGGCCTTGGTCCATATTCCTTGAGATTCTTGAGAAACTTTACATATTAATCTACCTTAAGAATGCGAATGTTTTGCTGGTGTCAAAATTGAATGTGTGATCGGGGCTGGCCCGGTGGCGCACTGGATAGTGCGCCGCTTGGGAAGCGTGGTGGCGCTCCCGTCCGAGGGTTCGTATCCCCCATACCGACCGGCTCCCGCTCACTGGCTGAGCGAGGCGCGGGAGCAACACCGAGGCTTGCGATCCCGTTGCCGGTCCCCGGTCCGGTACGGGGGGAACACTGGGGGCGGTGATCCGTTGCCGGGCCCGGAAAAAAAAAAAAAAAAATTGAATGTGTGATCGGGGCTGGCCGGGGGGCGCACGGGATAGTGCGCCGCTTGGGAAGCGGGGGGGCGCTCCCGTCCGAGGGTTCGTATCCCCCATACCGACCGGCTCCCGCTCACTGGCTGAGCGAGGCGCGGGAGCAACACCGAGGCTTGCGATCCCGTTGCCGGTCCCCGGTCCGGTACGGGGGGAACACTGGGGGCGGTGATCCGTTGCCGGGCCCGGAAAAAAAAAAAAAAAAAAAAAAAAAAAAAATTGAATGTGTGATCAATGAGCAAGAACTGAAAAGTCTCTTTTCTAGGCAGGATCGAGAACTTCTTTTTTTCTAATTCCACACAGACACGTCTTCGGCCTCTGAGGATGAGGGTTCTCTGAGACGCCAAGCTGCGCTCTCTGCTGCCTTGCAACAGAGCTTACAGAATGCTGAGTCCTGGATCAACCGTTCAATTCAGGGATCGTCCACTTCTTCATCTGCATCTTCTACGCTGTCCCATGGAGAGGTCAAAGGAACCAGTGGGTCTCTAGCTGATGTATTTGCCAATACTCGAATAGGTAGGAGCTGGATCTACCCAAAAAGCTCAAATTATGTTCCATTTGGCTCCCAGTATCCAGGAAATAGTTTGTGATTTGTATTAGATTTTTAAGTGTGGCCTAAAAGATATGATCAGAGAGAATATGACAGATTATGAGGCAAAGAAGGAAACACCAGCAATACATTTGTAACAGGAATGATAAGGATTATCTGCATTTATTGGTGCATAGAATTGCCCACCTGAAGCCATAGCTATTTCCATAAGCAATACTCAAGCTGCAAGATATAACACCAGTCTTAGTGTGGGTTTATCCCACTTGAAGAATATTCCATGTATTAAAAGGTATTAAAATATGTAACATTTTTATTTTCCCAGGATTATTGTTTACATTCTGTCAAAAAATGTTAAACCTAAGCAAATTCTACACTAAACCAATGCCATTGAGGCCTTTTGTCTTTAGTATAAAGACTGGATTTATTGTCCTTGCTGCTGTGATATTGCTACAGCTGGAGTGTGTAGGCCGAGGATGTTGGTACTCTGTGAGCTCCACCTGCTGCTGATGCTACTGTGTGGAGTGTAGCTTTTGCTTGGCGCTGCTTTATGTTTCTGTGTTGTTGTTGTTTTAAGAGATGCAACATCTGCAGATATAGTTCAGATCTCTGCTTTTGCTTAATTGCTTGGTACAAATTGCACTATGTAATATATATTAATGTTGTATGTCTGTGATATCATTTCCTTTTTTCTTGACAGTGAATTGTATTTTGGTGTCTTAATTTTCATTTCAGTGACCTTTCTATATCACCTTGTATATATCTTTATTAATTGATTTCTGAAACGAAAAACTTGGAAAACTTTCAGTTCAAAGTTATAATTTTTAAAGAAAATAGCTACCTGAAGGTATGTGATTGCCCAATTAAAAAGCTAGTGCCAGGAGATGATGACTTGTCCTGCACTCTTAGCTCTGCCCTGTAATTCACTGAGCCTCCTAAAGCAGCTCCAGACAGATATATGCACATGTGCCACCTCATTTGTTGTGGAGGGTAAGCCATAGAGCCTTGGTTGGTGGGGTTGTATTTCCATATTAGTCTAAAAAAAGAGCAATTTCACTTGTTAAAAATATTGTCCTAATACCCAGTTAACTTTATCTGGGTTTTTGTTAACAAGATGATTTCATCAGACCTCATATTTCTCTATTGCTTCTACTACTCTTGGAAACGTTATTGGTTCAGTTACTCACAGACACCATTTTATCCAACATTATTACTTTTTGGATGTTTGCACTAACAGAAGCAATTCATATTCCTAGTGGAAAAATTTATAAATATAGGTAAAAGAAAAATAACCTATAATCCCACCTTCCATGGTTAACATATTTGTGTTATCACTTCAGTATACATCTTTCTAGATTTTATTTACAGATGAGTATGTAAGGTTTGGGTTTTGATTTTACAAAAATGAGGTTGTCCTAAACATAATGTTCATAGGCTGCTTTTCTTAGCAGTGTATCATGAACATCTTTTATATCATTATAATTAGACTATTATTTTTATGGTTTCAAGGTATGTCATTGTATGGGCCGGCCAGGTGGCACACTGGAGGGTGCGCCGCTTGGGAGCGTGGCGGCGCTCCCGTGTAGGGTTCGGATCCCATGTGGAGACCGGTTCCCGCTCACTGGCTGAGCGTGGTGCAGGCGCAACACCAAGGGTTGTGATCCCGTTGCCAGTCCCCGGTACGGGCGCGATACTGAGGGTTGCAATCCCGTTACCGGTCAGTAAAAAAGAGACAAAAATGAAAAAAAAAAAAAAGGTATGTCATTGTATAACTGTACCCTGGTTTGTTTAGCCACTACCCTGTTTTGGGCATTTAAATAGTATCCAACTTTTTGGCTAGTATAAAAACTGCTGGAATGAACCTTCTTGAACATGTAGCTTTGCATTCATCTGATTATCTCCTGAGGATGTATTCCTGTAAGTTGAATTGCTTACAATAAAAATGGGTCAAATAAAAATATCCATTTTTAATACTTTTGTCACCACATTTTCCTATAGAAAGGTATACTGCAGTATACTTTGCTAGTATATATAAAACTTTAAAAACTATGAAATTAGTAATTATAGACATTTTGGGCATAGAGACCTTACCCCCAGATTGATTTTAGACATTGTTTATATTATGCTTTTTTCCTTTTTCATAGTTTTTAGTGGAATTTTATTATTCTTGTAAATCATATATTTTACTTCCTTTAATGTTCTTACTTCTCCAGATGTTTTCTTCTGAGTTTTTTGTAACACGTTCCTGTTGAATGGATCTCTTCCAAGTTACGTCATTCAATTTCTCTTGTTAAGAATCCATACATGAAGTAGAGTACGATAGCACTATTTAATCTCTGCTTAGAGCAAGGAAAGAACTTTGTCAAGTAGATCTGAGTTACCTATGCTTTATTTTATAAAAATTAGAGGTGGACTTTATCTGGTTTTTCTTTATCTGGAAACTTGAGTGATTTAACCCCCTCCCAAGACACTATTTTGGTCTTCAGTGGAAGAAGAAACATTCTAAATAAACCATAATCATGAAGAATTGTTCAAGAGACTAAAATATTAGTAGCAGTTATGATCTTACTCACTTTGTTTCCATTTTGAATCACTTGCAACTTTTATTTCATTATGATTATTTTTATAACATTGGGTTTCTACCAGCCTTTCTGTGTAGTAAATAATGTTTTTGAGAAACATTGGATTGATGATTTGATCTTACTAAGGCTACCCTAAGTCTTGAAAAGAATCATTTTGGAAAGCTGATATGTCCTGACTTAACCTCTTGTTCACCCATTATATCTTGCTAGTAGAATTTGATCTGAAAGTTTGTTTTACAAGAGCTGATACCCTATTTATGTAGTTTTCTTCCTTGTTAAAAACCAAAGGTTTAAAGGTTCTTATTTTTGCTGCTAATGTAAATAATTCTGAATTTTGTTTTACCTCCTCTTAGAGAATTTCTCTGCTCCCCCTGATGTCACTGCAACTACCTCTTCCTCGTCATTATCTTCCTCAGTGCGCCCAGCAAATATTGACCTGCCCCCTTCGGGGATAGTTAAAGGCATGCACAAAGGATCCAACAGGTCCAGTCTCATGGATACAGCTGATGGTAGGGAGTTGTTTTTGGTGGCTAAGTAGGGAATATAAATTAAACTGGAAAAACTCAAATCACGAGTGGTAGCTCCTTACTCACAGGCCCAGCAGCTGCAGGACTGCAGTGCAGCTGGCCGCTAAGGAGTCGCCCGAGGGCCCTCTTTTCCACAGTCTGCACAGTGGCAGCTTTGACACTTGTGCAAACTTAGTGCTTTCAAAAGATACTTTGAACAAAAACTGGTGTGGAAAAAGAAAAGAATGCTATAAGAAAGGGAGATTAGGTGAACTCTTTAAGCAGTGTATGACAGTAATTATACACTGTAGTTATACGGTGTAATAGCACCACATTTGTTTGCCATTGTCATAAAACTTGCTGTGTACATATTTGTACCTGTTTGGCCCAGATGAAATAGAATGATACTATGGGCAAAGGCCAAACATCATTAGAAATAAAAGCCCCTGAGGGAAATGGGGAACTAAAATAACCTTAAAATCAATGAATTTTAACTTCCATTTTTTTTCCTTATAGGTGTTCCTGTTAGTAGCAGAGTATCTACAAAAATCCAGCAGCTTCTCAACACTCTGAAAAGGCCCAAAAGGCCTCCCTTAAAGGAATTTTTTGTGGATGACTCTGAAGAAATTGTGGAAGGTAGTAGTAAAAATACCAAAAACATATGTTTATTAAAAAAAAATTCCTAAGCAGTTACTACATGTCAGACACTGTAGGTTAAAGCACGAACAAGGCATAGTTCTTGGTTCAAAGTGTCCGTAGTTCTCTTTTTTCTGTAAATATCATTTATATTTTAGATCTCAGGTGAACAATAGGGAGGGGGAAGAAAGGCAAAGAAATAACTGTGGAGCATTGAACTGTCCTTGGAAATAGGCTCTTTGAAATTAGGCACTATTTCAAACACTTGATTTTATGAGTTATTTATATTTGGCATTTTCCTAGGATATGGATGTCAAATCAACCTCAAAAGTTTGCACATCTTTTTTTAATACAACATAGTCCTTTCATTAAATCACCAATCAATGCATATATGTATCTGCTTTCTACAAGACAGTGTGGTAGATGGTGTAAAAGTTTCAAAGTTTATGAAAATACAGTCACTTCATGTTGCTTACAGTTTAGACTGGTGCTAAAATACCTACATGTAAAAGCTTAGTTTAGCAAGTAAGTACAAGAGTACTTCAAAAAGTTCATGGAAAACCAGAATTAAACGATAATGCAAATCTTCCCAATGAACATTTGTAGTACCCTCGCATATATTAGCTAATAGAGCAGTTCTGAGAAGGGAAGAAATTAGTTCTCTCCGTGTGGTTAGAGAAGAGTTCATAGAGGAAGTGGTAATAATCAGCTATTTATTCATTCAATATATATATTTTTTAAAGTGGTTCTCAAAGGGCCAGCCCGTGGCTCACTCGGGAGAGTGTGGTGCTGATAACAGCAAGGCCACGGGTTCGGATCCCATATAGGGATAGCTGGTTCGCTCACTGGCTGAGCGTGGTGCTGACAACATCAAGCCAAGGGTTAAGATGCCCCTACTGGTCATCTTTTAGTGGGGGGGGGGGAGTGGTTCTCATAGAAATAGAGAGTAGAATAATGGTTACCATAGGCCAGGAAGGGAAGAGGGCAGGGGAGAAGAGATATGGTGGATTAATGGATACAAAGCTACAGGTAGATAGTAAGAATAAATTCCGATGTTTTAGGCTGACTAGAGCTAATAATATTATATTATGTATTTCTAAGTAGCCACTAAGTAGCTTTGTGGTGACCATAATCATCACAAAGAAAAGATAAATGTTTAGGGGATGGATATGTTATCTGCCTTACGTGAATCATTGTGTGGTATATGCATGTACTGAAACAACACACTGTCTCACAAATATGTACAATTATAATTTAAAATAAAACAATTTTTAAAAAATATTTATGGATGAATATGTTTAGGATTTAATAGGAAGAATGGGAGGGGAATGGGTGTAAATATAGACGAGAAGGAGCATTTCATAATTACTGAAGCTAGATGATAAGTAGATCTGCTTAACAAAAGCTTTTGTCAAAAGAACTAGGCCTCGGCTGGCCTGGTGGCGCACTGCTACAGTGCGCTGCTTGGGAAGCGTGGCGGCGCTCCCGCCGAGGGTTCAGATCCCACATACAGACCCGCCACTCACTGGCTGAGCGAGGTGCAGGAGCAACACCGAGGGTTGCGATCCCGTTGCCGGTCCCGGTCTGGTCCGGGTGCGACACTGAGGGTTGCGATCTGTTGCCGGTCACGAAAAAAGACAAAAAGGAGAAAAAAAAAAAAAAAGAACTAGGCCTTGGTAGCTTTGTAGTCCATTTTTGTCCTGAGACTAATAGTAGGTTTTGATCACATCAGACCTGTTAATGGAATTAGGCACATTGCATGACTAGATCTGGTCTTAACCCAGTTTATTCAGCAGGAAGCAAAGAGCAACCTGATATATGAGATTGAGTTTGTTTCTTTAGGAGTCGCTAAACTCACTGAACTATGGACGTCTTTCTTGAAGCACTGTTGTTTAAGGTGCTCTTGCCAATAATACTCCAGTGTTTCTAGCACTATGTATTGACCAGGCAAATGAAGGTCAAGGTTTAATAGGCATCTTTCTTGAACAATTTGCATTGGCAGAAAAGAGCTAGCAGCTTTCTACTAATTATAAATAGGCAATAATTGCTTATTTGAATAATTGTTACCTTTGGAAAAGAAAAATGCCAGTGTGTCTTTGGAAGTGTGAAAGAGTATGCCCCAGACTCTGCATTGAGGTTTAGTGGATGATAGCAATAATGTAGACTCATATGGTCTGAAGATTATGCCTGCTATCTATGCATAAAAATAAAACTATTTAGAATCATCTGTGTTTATTTTTCTAGTTAATTAGGTGGTTTAGGGTCTTGGACTATACAAAGTAGAAGTGCAGCCAAAACATTATTTACCTAGGACAGCAAATTGGGGAAATCAAACTATTTCATGAGTTTTATGTCAGTAGAAAAATGAATCAAGACATTTTAAGTAAGTTTCCCAAATCTATCATTATATTGAGCCATAAAACGTAATTTATTTCATTTTCATTTGTCCATCTAATACTTGTTGCTTATTCTGTCCCTCTCCCTTCTGTGCCTCTGTTTTAGTCTGTTTTGTGTTGCTATAACAGAATTACCTGAGATTGGGTAATTTATAAAGGAAAGAGGTTTATTTGGCTTACAATGCTGGGACAGCTGCATCTGGCACAGACCTCAGGCTGCTTCTACTCATGGTGGAAAGTGGCGGGCAGCTGGTGGGTACAAGCAGATCACATGGCGAGAGGAAGCAAAAGAGAGAGGAGGTGCCAGGGTCCTATAAACAACAAGCTCTCGCGGGAACCAATAGAGCAAGAACTCACTCACTACCCCCCCCCCCCCCCCAGGAAGCTCTCTCATCTCCCTTTTCACCTAATTTCTTCCCATCCTTTAAGACCCAGCTCAGGCATTACCTGCTCCAGGTGGGTGACATGCCCCGCTCCTCCCCTCCCCTCCTGATACGTGGGTCTATCATGCACTGCTCTTCTTCTCCTCTCCCTAGCTGTGTGTATGTGCAGGTGTGTGTCCCCAGTACACTCTGGATACTCCTCATGGGCTCAGACTCTGTATTCCTTGAGCCAAGCACTTGTTAGGTACAATGAATGCTTGCTCAAAGAATGATATGTGCAGCATTTATTTTCTCAATATTTATCACATCCTGTGCATATAATTGGCACTCAGTAAATACTTGACTTTTTATTCCATATGTAAATTATCTTTCCTGCTATAAAACTGCAGGATTTTTTGCTTCTTCTTATTTGAATAATACTTGTCTAGCTGTATTAGCCGGTTAGCTCACTTGGGAGAGTGTGGTGCTTGTAACATCAAGTTCAAGGGGTTGGATCCCTGTACCCATCAGCTATGCCCCCCCAAATTAAGAGGACTTTAGTTTTATCTGTATGAAAGAATATGAAATATTCACCTCCAATTCCTGGAATGACCATGTTAACAATCTAGCTTTTTTTTTTTTTTTTTCTCCAAATTCAGTTCAATTCAACATTGTCGAGCAACTTTTACCTATTAGGCAGTAAGGGGAGTAAGAACCGTCCCTTCCCTTAGGAAGTCATCTGTCTTTGCAGGGGAAAATTTGTACAGTAATAGAAGCCATTAAGGATCCTCAGTGCTCACATGGGTATAGAATATGACATAGTGTGGGAGAGCACTAAGGAATAGTCTCCGCAAGGAATAGTTGGGGATGGTTCCAAGAGAATGTGCTGTTTGAGCTGAGTCCTGAGAAGGGTGAGTAAGAGTTCACCAGGAGACAAAGGGATTGACCGTATGAGATGAGTGCAAAGGAGGGCAGAGACATGGAGCACTGTGATTCACGCCCATTAGGGTCTAACGGTAACCCGTGAGGTAACTGTTACTATCCCCATTTTACAGATGAGGAAAGCAAGGCTTGAGTGAATCAATTTGCCTAAAGTCGTGCTAGTAAAAAGTGAATGTAACTTGGGGTGTCTGACTCTTAGTTCAATGCTTTTTCATTAAATATAACCTAGTGAAGTGGAACCTGACTATCTAACACAAACTGTAAAGATATAAAAACAAGTTTACAAAAATTGTGAAATTGCTAAAAAGAAATTTATACTTTGCACTTTTCTGTATGTGTCATGGTTTGCTTTGTCGGGGTCAGGACTTGTTTGTTGCATAAAACATATTGAATTTGATTTCACAATTCAGTGGAAAATTGAATTAAGGCCCAGTTTGTGGATTACCATTTCTGGTTAGAAATGGTTACATTTCTGTCCTTTCTTTTCTCAAAGTGAGTTTAAACCAGATAAAAATGAAGAGAAAAGGGATATACACGTATTTAAGACTAGAGACCTAAGCTGTGTTAGTTGGTATTTGTACTTATTTTACTCATTGGGGTCTTTTTGGTACAGTACCTCAGCCAGACCCCAACCAGCCCAAGCCTGAGGGACGGCAGATGACGCCTGTGAAGGGAGAACCGCTAGGAGTCATCTGCAACTGGCCTCCTGCGCTTGAATCTGCCCTGCAGCGCTGGGGCACTACTCAAGCAAAGTGCTCCTGTCTGACTGCACTGGACGTGACAGGGAAACCCGTTTACACTCTTACATATGGTGAGTTCACAAGATTCCAGATCCCTCCTTTCTCCTAAGAGTTCTTCAGAATATCATAGGTAGTTTTTTTTAATCTTGATATTTAGCAGCTGCTGGTGATTATGTTTCTTTTTTTTTTTAGTTGATAAATATTTTTTTTCATTTCTCATATTATTTTATTTTATCAATGTACAATATAGTGATTTTTGTGTCCCTTTATCAATTCCTCCTTTTTCTCCCTCCCTCTCTCCCCTCCCCCATCAATATCATATCTGTTCACGTCTTAACAAAATCAAGAAATTGTTGTGATTGTTGTGTCTTCTTGCCCCAAACCCTCACTGTTCATTTGTTTATTTACTTATTTATTTTTATTAGCTCCCCCAAATAAGTGAGAACATGTGGTATTTCTCTTTCTGTGCCTGGCTTATTTCACTTAATATAATTCTAAGTCCATCCATGTTGCTGTGAATGGTAGTATTTCTTTTTTTTTTTTTTTTTTTTTATAGCAGAGTAGTATTCCATTGTGTAGATATACCACATTTTCCTTATCCACTCATCCGATGATGGGCATTTAGGCTGGTTCCAGCTCTTGGCTATTATAAATAGTGCTTCAGTAAACATGGGAGTACAGGTATCCTTTTGTGTTTCAACATATCTTTCCAGTTATTTAACAGGATCCTGAGCTGTAAGTCAAGCTATTGTTGAATATTTTCATGTGCTAAAGTGACATTTGCAAGCTAGCTGATATTTAAAAGACAGCAAAAAGAAAGAGGCTTTATAGATCAAATATTAATATTATAAGAAGATTTTTAGAAAATCATTTGGTCAGTATTAATGATGTATGGTGAAAATCAGATAGTTTTATCTAAAAATTGAAACTGATCGCTTTTTTAAATCTTTACTTCATCCTGCAACATGATTTCTCTTTCACTTTTCTCATAATCTTTTCTGGCCGGTAAGGGGATCTGAATCTGTGACTTTGGTGCTACCGGCATCACTCTCTGCCAAGTGAGCTACCCAGCCAGCCCCTGCACTTTTCTCATAATCTAAAATAAGAATTTCTAAGAGTGCTTGGGAGGAGGGAATAAGAAGAGGGAAAGAAAAGGATTTTTTTGTTTGCTTGTGCCAAAATAGTTTTAGCATTCACCTCAGAAGTTGTATGTTAATTCATCCCCTATAACCCTTAAAGAAGGCATTCCACTGGCCAGATCTTTGCATGTGTTTAACATCTTTGACTACATCCACATGTTTTACAAAGTTAATTTCCATTTCATTGTTTTCACTGAATTACAGTGATATGGAATGTTTAATCATTTGAGTCATACTTTTGCTTTGCAATTACCTCAAGTATCTAATGCCACATATGTGTGTGGTTCTTTAGAAAAAGCTTAGAACAGAAGTAGTCTTCTGATTTTCAGTGTGATTTAAAAAAAATTGTTCTACCCCTTTAAATGTGATTTGCTTACGTCAGATTATTTCTAAGGACATTCAGATTACTTCAGAAAAGAGTTTGAAATGTTGTATAAACCAGGATGAGATAGGCCTGTATTTTTTTTCTACATAATTATTTTCTTTTCTTTTTCCAGGAAAGTTGTGGAGCAGAAGTTTAAAGTTGGCCTACACACTGCTTAATAAACTGGGGACCAAAAATGAACCTGTGTTAAAACCTGGAGACAGGGTAATTAGTTTTTTGTTTAGTTAGTGTTTGTTGTTTTCTAATATGCACATTCTGGAGTTTTAATCCACAACAGGAAAATTTACATAACTTATTCTTGGAAAATAAAAATGGCTTGGTTCCAACTCAGGTTAGCCCAATGCCAGGTGATATTTCTTGCATTCATAGGCTGAAGGCAACTCACATGTCCTTCTGTGTAGCTAGCTGCTTGTCAGTAAACACTTGAGGTGCTAATAAAAAGAGAAACCCAAGTTTTTCCAGCATAAATACTGGAATATTTAGACAACAAAAATGGCAACAAAATTTACTCTTTGATTTTATTCTTTACAAAATGCCTCATAAAACTTTCAAAGCAATTTTCTGTGGTTTTATGTGGAAAAGGAAGATTCATGTTATTTCTAAGAAGAAACAAATTGACATTATTTTATTTCTTCTTTAATTAGAAGTGACATTTCTTTCTTTTTTTTTTTTTTTTAATTTTTGAAGTTTTGTTTGGCTCTTTTTCTTTTTGATGGCTGGCCAGTAAGGGGATCTGAACCCTGGACCGTGGTCCTGTCAACACCGCACTCTAACCATCTGAGCTAACCAGCCAGCCTTAAGTTTTATTTTTTAATTAATGATTTTTAAATGACTACTTCTTACCATCAAGCATTACTTGTCATTTGGGATTTGTAGAATGAAATACCAACTGTGCAACAGACTTCCTTTTAGTAGGCTCATGATTACAGAATCTCCTAAAGTAGCCTTTTAAAAATACTTTTGCATCGTGGCAAAGGGCACCTCAAGTATGGCTTTTAATTGTAAGTATGACACATGAATGTTTCCTGTGCCTCCCTGAACCCTAAGAAAGTTATTTTGTGCCTATCTAGCAACACGGACACTTGTAAGCAGGAAGGAAATGGGTTAAGTGGGTTGTGGAATTAGCATTTTTTTAGAATGCTATGAAAGCTTAAAAGTTCAGAATTGAACTTATCGTGGGAGGGAGTAAAGAGAAGTTAAAGCAAAAGCAGGGAAAACAAGAGTCTGGTGATATGATTAAGTTTCAAATGTTAATTTGTGAATATCCCAGCCAAGTAACAAATCCCACAGTAATAGTAACTTTTGTGCCTTTGCATTCCTTGAGTAAATTAGGAAAAGTCAATTATCCCTGTGATGTGTAACAGGTGACATCACAGGTTTGAACATATTGCAGAGGTTTCACTGTTGATCTTTTGTTATGAATTAGCTTTATATCCATAATGGTTTCTGCCAGTGTTGCTTACATCTGTTACCAAATGCCTTCATGCCAGAACACTTACATTGTTGTGTGTGTAAGGATGATGCAATGAATTAAAGAGTAAGAAACCTGTGTTGGTCCTAAGATGGTAATCAACTCAATCAACACTTATAGGTTCTCTGTGAGAGACAGATGTAAGGCATATTCTTTAATATGCTGTTCTGTCTAGAGAGATCCATTACATTTATTTTATTGCTTTAGTCCTGCACTAAGGTAAATTGCCTTAGGTTTCCTAAATAATTAACTTACCACTTAAGGTGAGTTGTTTACTGCTAAATCACCGATAGAATTAAGTGAAAAATTCTTATGATGGTGATGATGAGTTGCATTATAGTTCCCAAAATGTGTAGTATAAATCATGGGCATGACGGAGATCTTTTTAGATTTGTGTGTCCTTCTTAGTAACTTAATTCCCTTTAGAACAAATGATTATTAAATAGTTTATTGTGATCATGATAAATGTTATATATGATAGAGAATGACATTGAAGCATTAGTGTGCTTTTATTCCTCTGTTATTGGATGCCATTTTGAATTTTAGGTAGCCCTGGTTTACCCCAACAATGATCCAGTCATGTTTATGGTGGCTTTTTATGGATGTCTCCTGGCAGAAGTGATTCCAGTGCCTATAGAGGTACCTCTTACCAGAAAGGTAACATTGCTGAATTTAAGAGGAATGTAGCCTGATGTGACATCGCAGGCATTGGGTTCTTGTTGGATCAACTGACTCGGTCATGACTTTAGAAACAGCCTGACCGTGTTCTGAAGTACTCAGCTTCTAAAAATATGAAAGTTGCAGAAAAATTGAGTTGATATTTACAAGTGTCACGCAAAAAACATATTTTCAACTAAGATATAATTTTTTTAGTATTATATATTATTTTAAAAATCATGGGAGTATAATTTACTTTTCAATGACTATTATTTATAAAGAGTACCACTCTTGTTTCAGACTGTAGGTAATCTACATTTACAGTAGTTGAGACCTTTTTGTTAAGGGATTTTCTTTAATTGTATCTTATGACCTAGGATTTCCATTAAGTGGAACGGAGATGCAGTGACTGCATGTTACCACTCTGGATTACAGGATTTTACTTTGACAATGCATCAGCCCTACTAAAATGAAGAATATGTAACCAATTTTCATATTTGGCGCTTATTTTCTCATGCAGTTTATTACTGAGAGTTGATGTCAAAGACAAATATGGTGGAGAATGTGGGTTTATAAGAAAAAATTATTTTCTGGAAGGCATAGAAAACAAATTGGTAACTCTCTAAAGCTCTAGTTGATGGGATATAGTATTCTTTGGTCATGAAATCATAGGGTTGTTCTTAAATTATTAAGTTGGCAGTATTTGTGTGGCTTCATAATGATTCTTTTAGGATGACATTTTAATGGAAATACTTTAGACTGTATCTTTTGTTGTTTTTTGCTATTGTTTTTGTTGCTGTTGGTCTAACGCTTAAATATACCTTCTTTAAAATAGAATAATAAAAGGAGTACCTGGATTTAGGTGTAACCATTCATGACTTTCATTATAAATTTGAACATTTGGTACCCATTTATGTTATTTATTTTGTTCTGACCTGAATTGCTTTGCTCTTGGATTTGGGAGTAAGGCTAGGGGAGGACAGTTTAACCATATTAGCATTTATTTAATTTGCCTGAAAGTAATTTAAAAAGAGGATCATTGCTGACCCTTGAATAAAATGGTCACATTTGGCTGGTAGGATTCATCATTAGCAATGTCAGGTTAATAAAATATTTGATTTATTCTCAGGAAATCACTGTATTATAAGAAATTATTTAGAACATATTGTCACTAGATTTTGACAATTTCCAGATATCGGTGGGGCTCCATGAATGTTATTGCACACGTGCCAGAGCATTACTAAGTGTTAGATTTTGGGCCTAGGTCTGCTCACATTTGCTCCCCTACTGTACTCATTATCTTTTCTCCACAGGATGCTGGAGGTCAGCAGATTGGCTTCTTGCTAGGAAGCTGTGGTATTGCCTTAGCTCTTACCAGTGAAGTTTGTCTAAAGGGGCTGCCAAAAACCCAGAATGGGGAAATTGTACAGTTTAAAGGTTAGTAATAATTGTACTTGAATTATCATTTAAAAGTGAAAACTGAGTGCTTTAATTAGCATTTTAGAGTAATAATAGCTAAGTACTTTACATATATTTTCTTATTTAAATCTCATTGCCTTATGAAGTAGGTGCCATTATTATCCCCATTTTACAGGTGAGGAAACTGAGAGGTTAAGTAACTTGCCCACAGTCACAGCTAATAAATGCAGAGCAGCAATTTGAACCCAAATCTGCCTGGTTCCACAGCCCACACCCTTAACCTTTATGCTGATGGTTGGAAAAAGCTACCACTCTGTACATTAAAGCTAAATGCTCCATGTAGAGACAGAGGATAGACCACTAACCTCAGTGGACTTCCACTGCCAAATGGACCTCCCAATTGTTGAGGTAATGTCAAGGCCTTAGCATGTGGAACAATTGTACTTTTAAAAGAAGGTATAATTGTCTGGTGATTTATCACTAAAAACTAATTAAAATAAAGTGTTTTATTGATATTAAAATGATCTTAATTTGGTCTCTTTATTTACAATGACCAATTCAGTGTGAATTCCTTCTCTGATGGCTTAGGCAATTCAAATTTTACTTTGGGTTTGATTTAGGTTGGCCCCGGCTCAAATGGGTTGTAACAGATTCCAAGTACCTTTCAAAGCCACCCAAAGATTGGCAGCCCCACATTTCTCCTGCTGGTACAGAACCAGCATACATTGAGGTAAGTCCTGAGACTGTGAAACATGCTTTCTGGCTTTTCCTTTGGCTTTGGTTACTATCTTACAAAAATATAAACTAACTTTTTGCAGTTTTAATGTTAGAAGATCCTCCTGCTTTGTGAGATTTCTGTCTTTGGGCTTGTAAAATGCCTTATACTGGACCATCTATTCTAATTATTTTTATCATAACAATACCTTCAGGAGGAAAATAGCAAAGAAATTGATCTTTCATGTGAGAAAATTTTAAAAGACTTTAGAAAAGTAGAAAGGCTTAAACATGATTTACTGGCAGAGAAGTTTCTCTGCTGTTTTTTTAGAGAAATTTCTCTGCTGTTTTTCTTGAGGGCAGAATGGAGACATGAGGAGGGAAGATAGTTGTGCTTGAAAAGAACACGTTTAACAGATGAAAGACAGAGCAAGAAGAAACAAATGGCTAGACGATTTGGTATTGAAGGTTAGTGTAGGAACTCGATTGACTGGCAACATGATTCAGTTGAGGGATTAAGTCTTAGTGCATACCAGGCACCAGGCTAAGTGCTTTAAATGCATTATCTGATTTAGTCTTCACATGTACACCAACCTATAAAGACCTGCTTTGTAGATGAGGAGACTAAGACTTAAAAGAACTTGAGTTACTGACAAAGGTCATATGACTCAAAAATGGCAGAGCTGAGACTCAAACTCAGGTCTGTCTGACTCTAAAAGCTAAACACTGCTCTGCATTCTGCTTGACATGTGCTCACCAACTGTTTGCTAAATTAGTGAATAAGCAAATCAGTAAATTTAAAAAAAAAAAAGGTTTGGGGGGGAAAATCACCTAACCTTTAACACTGTGGTGATGACACATATAGATAACATCAAATAACTTTGGCTATAAAAAGAGGGGGCAGTAGCTTTGAGAGTGATGGTTAATGTTGGATGCAAGGATTGTTTTTAAAGACAGAAGAGATCTGAGTATGTATAAAAGACAGACAAGTAAATAAACAATTAAAATATCAAATTTAGTGGTCAACTCTCAATCCATATCATATCTCAGTAATAATATGGCCCATGACTCCATCCCCCTTAAAGTTGCTGGCTTCCTGGACTACTTTCTCTGAGTTCGTGTACCTCATTGACCACTCCTTTTCAATCTTCATCATTGGTTCTTCCTACCAGGTGAAGGGCCCTTCATTATGTGGCCCTTGTTAGCTCTCTGGCCTCACATAGAAACTATTTCTAGGTTTCTCCTATTATGAATTAATTAGCAATTCTCACTTGGGATCCTCCTGTTACCCATAGGACTCTGGTAGGGAATTTAAAGTATCCTATGGGTAGTAGGGAGCTATTAAAGTGTTGTCAGCTGGAGAGTGATAAGAATGAATTTGTTGTAAAGAAGATTTATTTGGATTGGTTGGGTTAGGAAAGTTAATAGAGAGACCAGCTTTTTACAGTTATCTAGGTGAGCCCAGGCTTGAGGTGGTGGAGATAGACGTGGATGGAGTTGAGAGACAGTAAGGAAGTAGAGCAAGCAGGACTTAATGACTGATGCTGGAGAAGGGAGGAGGCAAGAAAGACTCAGATTTTTTAAATTGGGCAACTGGGTTGATGGCAGCATCCTTCACAAAGAAAATATAGCAGGAGGCGTTTTAATGGGCATAAGGTAAGGTGAAGAATAGTGTTGGATACATTGGGTTTCACAGGACTACAGGACATTTCAGGGTTAGTCTGGATCTCTGGAGGAGCCTGGGTTGGAGACGGAGAACTAGGAGTCATTAGGAATATATGGTACCTTGATGGAATAAAGTGAAAAGAGAAGAGGAAGGAGAGCAAAACTCTCGGGGAACACAAACATTTACGGGGTGGGCAGAGGAAGTGGAGAGGCAACCAGATCGGAGAGAGGGGTATCACAAAAGCCAAGGAAGGAGAAAGTGCCAAGAAGAGAGTAGTCAAAATGTTGCTGAGAGGTGTGATAAGATTAAGTATGCAAAATGTCCTTTTGATTTAACAATCAAAAGGTTGATAATGTGGGTAAAAAGCAACTTCAACGGAGTATTGAGGGTAAATCATAATTATAGTTGAATGACTTGTAGGAGTGAATAGGACATTCATTTTTAGGACTCCCTCTACCAAACTGGGCGCTTCTAACAGACAGGGACCACATCGTGTACACCATTAACTCTAGTGCTGTGCCTGACATGTGTGTGGTATTGTGTTTCTATTAATGCAGCTCAAGTCACTTGTTTGTTTTTAGCTTTTTTAGCAGCCATTTCACACCGGGTGACTAATTAAACTTTTTTTTTCACACATACTTTTGTTAAGTTTTGTCATCTTTTGATCCTATCTTGTGTGATTAGAGTTTGGGACCCAAGTGCATAGGCTTAAATATTCATATTAAACATGTTAAATTCAGCCCGTGATGACAGCTTATCTGAGTTTCATTTTTGGATTCTAGATTTGTCATTTGAAATAACCAACTTTATTGTTTCTTATGTCTTTGTCTTTTTTTTTTTCCCCTAGTATAAAACAAGCAAAGAAGGGAGTGTAATGGGAGTTACAGTGTCCCGGCTTGCAATGTTGTCTCACTGCCAAGCTCTGTCGCAGGCCTGCAATTATTCTGAAGGTCAGACCTCATCCCATGACTGCCCTCATTGTTAGCTTCAGATATGTGTGACTGTAAGCAGAGTGCTCAGTGATTGGATTCCATTTAATGACCAAATTCAGAGTGAAATGTTCCAAAACATATTCTTGGATTGCTTTGGTTTTCTTCTTTTTCACAAATATGTTGTAATTTAAAGGAACTCAAATTCTGGGCAAACCAAATATGTAAAGCATATTTCTAGAGTACAGAAATAGAAAACCCTAATTAAAACCATGTGTTTATTAGCTGTGGAATGTCAGGTATCTCCATCTTTCTGTGTATAGAGAGCTACCAGCTATACATTTGGAGTCAAAGAAATTCTGCTACCAAAAAGCACAAATTAAAACACAAAAATATATTCTGTATTGTTGAACTTTAGACATGTATAGTATAGTGACTATTTGCCTCAGAATGTTCTTTGCAATATTAATTTTTTTAGTGTTTTATTTTCCTTTTGCAAAATGAAACAAGTTAATATGAGTTCATTATAGAGCAGCATTCTTGTCTGGTTAAAAATATATATATAATGGGAGCAGTCAAAATGCCAAAATAGGGATTGATTAAATTATAATACATTCATATAACGGATTATCCCCTGAAGCATTGAAACTCATGTTCTTGAATATTAAAGATATGGAGAAATTGTTTCAATATATCATAAAGTGAAAAAAAATTAGGTACAGAGCTGTATATACTAATTTTGTTATGTTAGATATCTATCTACATGTAAATATGTCTGGAAGTATATATGTTTGTGTACAGATATAATATATGCATGTTTATACACACCAACATTTTTTATTTTTTCAAGGAAATATAATTACTTATATTTGTGAAACTTCCGAAGTTTCTAAAAGCATGTGTTCCTTACATAATTAGGGAGAAAAATTATCTCCTGCAAGATGTGCCTAAGTCCTAAGGAGTTTCTAGCTCATTGTCCCTGCTGTGACCACATTATTCTATGATCAGTCCTCCAGCAATCAAAAGACCCCAAGAACTTTTACTCATTTCTCTAAAAGCACCAAAGCAGTTGTTTAGTAGAGGCAAGTGACATGATTTTGCTACTTAATCCTAAATATGATTTCTTTCTGGTTTTTTCCTATTTTTTTCTATTTTAGGGGAAACAGTAGTAAATGTTTTAGACTTTAAGAAGGATGCTGGGCTGTGGCATGGCATGTTTGCGGTAAGCTATTCAGAATTAAGGCCTTTTGTATATACATTGTGCTTAATGTTAAGGCCAGCATGCTTTGTAACTAGAGCATCTCTCAGTGCTTGTTTGAAATTTAAGCCCCTAAAAGATCAGTAATGTATTTCAGAGGTCCTCTGAGCTTTTCACTGGACAAAATATATTGAATTACTGCCAAACATAAGCTACATGCCGCAATTAAAAAGGTACATGGGGACACTTTCCATCATGCAGGAGCAGGTAACACTATGGGCATTAGAGAAGGTAGCTTCCTTCCAGCTCTGGGCTTCAAGGCAGTTTTTATGGAAGAGGTGACAGCTGCATTGGACTTTGAAAAATAGGTAAGCGTTAGCCATATAGAGATTTGGAGGGGGGTAAAGGAAGAGAGGGGGAAGCTACCATATGTAACATGCTGTTTAGGAGGAGAGAGAGCAGAAATAAGGGTCCTGGAGGTGAAAAGGATCTTAAAGAGCATCTATCTTACCTTTCTTACATACTGCGGTAGTCTGAGAAAGTAGAAAATGAAGCGTGAGGGTAGAGGAGGAGGATGCCTTCTCTTCCATCACCCCCCAAATTAGGAAGAGCTTTATTCCTTGAGTGTTCCTACTTTTCTAGCTCTTTTCTGAAACCTTACCCATTTTCTTTTTTTATCAGAAGTTAAAAAATCCTTCAGAGGAGTTAGAGGAATCTCCACCCTGTAATTCAAAATATAAGATAGGGACATGTATGAAGAATTTTATGAACACCAGCCTTTTCCTGAAACCAAAAGTTTGTCACCAGAGCTAGGAACTTGGGGAGGGAGGAAATGATATCTTCTAATGGTATCTCAGTTTCTTTGGGCCACTTAGGTGGTGAACAGAATGGCCAGTTGAAATATCAAGGCTCGGTTACTGTGCCAGGCTGGGTCTCTTTGGGACCTGGGTATATTTGGTTTGGTGGCAGGAGAGGCACCAAATCGCATGATCCCTCAGTTCCTTCCCTCAGCTTTATGTCACCAAACACTTAACAGGTCTGGGCAGGACCTCCCGTAAGAAACGAGGAAACTTTGATTTCTTGCTTTGTAATACCCACCCCTTTGTGGTATGTGGCAAGTGTGAGCATGGCGAAAACACTTAGTGGGGTGGAGGACAGTTTGGCAGTGTCTGTTAACATCTAAAAAGCATATGTCCTATGAGCCAGCAGTACTACTTCTGTATCTACCCTACGGAAACACTCACACATGAGCTCAGGGAAGTAAGTACAAGTATGTTCCTTGAAACATTACTTGTAATAGCAAAAAATTGTCCTTTATAGGGAAATGCCTAGGTAAATTGTGAGATAGCCATAGTATGGAGTACTATGCAGCAGTTCAAAAAGAATGATGTAGATATCTTGTACTGATGTGGATAGATTTAGCTCTAAAACAATTTAAGTGAAAGAAAAAGCAAGTTGTAGATATATCTATAATATGATGCCTTTTATTTTAAAAATACTGTATATTTCTATGGGAACAAATATATATGCAAATGCATTTTAAAAAAGGAATGGAAGAATATGTACCAAATTCATAACTGTGATTATCTCTGGGAAGGAAAGGAGGGAACCTGGTTTGAGGGAAGGTATGAAAGGAACTTCAGCCTTATGGTTAATATATCACAGTTTTTTCAAAGAGCATATATTTGAGTATTACTTGTATAATTAAAATTGTTAACAAAATATCAGTTCTATTTTAGAATGCTAAGTCTGTATTTGGTATTGATTATTTTTTATCTTTCTCTGCTTTTCAGAATGTGATGAATAAGACGCACACAATTAGCGTACCCTACTCTGTTATGAAGACCTGTCCTCTCTCTTGGGTCCAAAGGGTACATGCTCACAAAGGTAGTCACATACAGCATCTAAGCTTTAATTATGTGACTGTTTGAATTTAGATTTCAGGGATTTCAAATTGCCCCTGTAGGCACACATTTCTATGCGTTGGTGGCTTAACAAATTTTAGAGTGCAGTTACTATAGAATTAGATACATTGTCTGTTTCATCTCGCTGATGTCCTTTCTTAAGAATTGAGATGATGGCTAGCCTGTTATCTCAGTTGGTTAGAGTGCCACCTTGTAATACCAAGGTCAACAGTTCAGATCCCTGTACCAGCCAGCCGCCAACAAAGAACTGAGATGAACTCTCCCAAATCTGAGCCCCGAATTACATTTATTACTTGCTCTGGTATTCAAAGCTTCCTCAGCTGGGATACTGTGGCCTGCCTGGAGGTTGCAGTGAGCAAGGAAGTGTATATGTAGTCAGTTGGCTAAATGTGGTGCTTTCTGCCTCTGTTAACTGGCACAGTCTCTTTGAAACTTTTTTTATTTTTTCTAAGTGAAAATCACGATCCCTAAAATAAGGAAAATTGTTTTTATTATAGTTTGTTAAATATATACCAAATTTAGCATGTATGTGTATGTTAACATATCCCTTTTGAATTCGTAGCCAAGGTAGCTTTAGTAAAATGTCGAGACTTGCACTGGGCTATGATGGCTCATCGAGACCAAAGAGATGTGAGCTTGAGTTCCCTCCGAATGTTAATTGTGACTGATGGAGCTAATCCCTGTGAGTATTTCTGGAATGTGGGTCTGGAAATATTTTTTCCTTTAGTAGTGTAGGGGTTTTTTTTTGCCCCCTTTCTATAAACTTTTTAAAAAACATCTGTATTGAATTATAATTCACATGCCATTAAACTCACCCATTTAAGGTGTACAATTCAGTGGTTTGGGTATATTCACAGTTATGCAACCATCACCATGATCTAAGTTTAGAACATTTTCATTACCCCAAAAGAAACCACTACCCATTATCTGTCATTCCCCATTTTCCCCACTGTCCCCCAGCCCTAGGCCACTGCTAATCTACTTTCCATCTCTATAGATTTGCCTACCCTGGGCATATCATATAAATGCAATCGTACAGTATGTGGCCTTTTGTAATGGGCTGCTTTCACTTATCTCTTTTCAAGGTTCATCCATGTTGCAGCATATGTCAGTACTTCATCCCTTTGTATTGCTAAATAATATTCCATTGTATAGATATACCACATTTTATTTATTCATTCTTCTTTTGATGGATCTGTGAGCTCTTAAAACCACTCCTTGTAGCTCATTCACTTATATCCTCTTTCTCTTATGTAACTGTGGGTATTTCTCAGATAAAAGGATATGAAGGTGACTTGAAGTAACCAAGTGTCTGGTCTTTGTGTACATTCCCCCTAGCAGCAAATCAAAGGACTTTGTAAAAACTTTTAGACATCTTACTGTGTTACCTGCTTTTCCCTGCAAGCACAAAAATCCTGATCCTTTACACAGTGGAATCAGGTTAAGCACCAGATACTATGCTCTTTGTCCTAAATGGGTTTTTGTCAGTAGTCACATTGATCTTCCAGGTTTAAAATACAGACATGGGATTGACCTTAGTAAGAAAAAGTCAGAGAATTTCACATAGAAGAAGATGGAACTAAGCCAGTATTGTATTGCCCTGGCTTATAATAGTTATTTCAGGAAGAGTTGCTGGATTATAAACTGGCAGCAGTGTTCTGATATTGATTTGTCAGTTTGGTAGGAGCAGCCCTATTCCAAGTTGTAACTTTAAGTAGTATCAGTGACCTTTCATGGGCTGGATGAGCAGTAATTTGTCCTTGAAATGTATTAAACCATCTCACAGGCACAGTAAAATATTTGTATGGAATGAATGATGTATGTACAATGTGAGTTCTCATGAGAAACAAATATGTCAACTTTCCACTCTTTACCAGTTCCTACAGTAATGAAAATCACAATTTCAGCTTTAAGATTGATCTGTTCCAACTCCGTAGGGTCTGTATCATCCTGTGATGCCTTCCTGAGTCTGTTCCAAAGCCATGGACTGAAACCTGAGGCCATCTGTCCATGTGCTACGTCTGCAGAGGCCATGACTGTAGCAATCCGCAGGTATTGTTTAGGATGTCAGATGCTCTTGATGTGTCTTATAACCTGATGAAATGTGCAGTATTTACCAGGTGATGACAAAGGGTTGCTAACTAATTTTCTGCTTCATAAGCCTAAAAGTGAGAATTACTTTGTAAAGTAGTTTGAAGCATCTCATTTATTTTTCCCACTCTTGCCCAAAGTATACCCAGTAGACTAAAAGTTTACTTTAATTATTCTCATATCATCTTTGTGAATTAGTTTTTTTCTGTGTTGCTCTGCTCTTCAGAATCCTTAATAAGCATCTTTGACTAGAAATAGACTGTTCATGATTGTAGCTTAAGTATGGAAAGCACATTTATAGTTCAGCCAAGACTGATATATTCTTAACTGATTAAAATTTACTTTTACCACCTAATTGAAAGTTACCCATGCCTTGTACATGTGAATTTAATTAATCTGGCATATTTTTCTTACAGAAAGTGGAGGTTTTTTGTACTGTAGCCAGAGGAAATTTGTTTTTCCTCTTGATACCATTTAATTTGCCAAACTTGATAGGTTTATTTTCTTTTCAGGCCTGGAGTTCCAGGGGCCCCTTTGCCTGGAAGAGCCATTCTCTCAATGAATGGATTGAGCTATGGGGTAATACGGGTCAATACTGAAGATAAAAACTCAGCCCTGACGGTCCAGGATGTGGGGCATGTGATGCCTGGTGGTGAGTTGTGAGGAGTACCTTTGGCTTTTCATGAAGATTTGTCATCAGAGATAGTAGAGCCTGATGAAACAGGAGATCCAAAACAAGAAATCCTAAACTCAGAACTTAGTCACTTGGGCCGAGCCCGTGGGGCACTCGGGAGAGTGCGGCACTGGGCTCCCGCCGTGGATTCGGATCCTATATGGGAATGGCCGGTGCACTCACTGGCTGAGCGCGGTGCGTGTGACACCACACCAAGGGTTGCGATCCCCTTACCGGTCACGAAAAAAAGACAAAAAAAAAAAAAAAAGAACTTAGTCACTTAATTTCTCAAAGCCTCTCTAACAGTTGAGTAGTTAGAATCATGCTGACCTTCTAGCAGTATTGTGTGATTTATTAGTGTGAATGCCTCAATTACACTTCTTCACATGGAAAGCTGAGAACTGAGTGATACTAAAGTTATCTGGGTTTCACTGTAATTGCCAATCCATTGGGATTGGCAGAAAGAGCATACTGCTTCTGTGAGTGTTTGAGTTTGATCTGCCCAGGGGTCACACTTAATTCATCTAACCTATTTCTTTGGACTTTACGGTCATTTTTAACATGTTGCTGTCTCTAAATGCTTTAACTTTCAAAAATACCTGTTTAATTTTGTGATTTGTTTTTAGCACTCCTTTGGTGTTCTTACTTAAAGCCATTCAGTAAATTCGAAACTCTCCTGGGTTCACAGGATGAAGATGTTATTATGCAAAGGTTTTTCAGAATCTCTCTTATTTGTATTTTCTGTACATTAGGGATGATGTGCATTATAAAACCAGATGGACCTCCCCACCTCTGCAAAACAGATGAAATTGGAGAAATCTGTGTTAGCTCCAGAACTGGAGGCATGATGTATTTTGGGCTTGCTGGTGTGACAAAAAATACATTTGAGGTATGTGATATTAAATTTCACAGGGAAAATGCTTAGTGAGGTCAGATCTGCTGGCTGATGGCACATAGTATAACACAGTGGTTGAGAGTGTATACTCAAGAGCTAGACTGCCTAAGCTTGAATCCTGACTATGCCACTCACTAGCTAACCTCAGGTGAGTTGTTTAACCTCTCTATGCCCCAATATCCTTATCTTTACAATGTGAGTAATGATAAATGTTGAGCATTCCTAATCTGGAAGTCTGAAATGATCTGAAATCTGAAACTCTTTGAGGTCTTGGGACCTCATTTCAGGTTAAGATATATTCAACCTGTACAGTATACAGTAACCTTTTAATCAAAACACAGCATTGGAGGTGGAGACCTAAAGCCTGCTGCTATTTGTTATTACTATTGTTTAATAGCTGGTACAGGTATACTGGTGATTTTCCTGTGCTATTTTCCCTGAACACATGATTTTTTCACTGTGTTAATGGTATGTTGCATTTTTACTATTAAGTACTTATGTGTGAATAAGTGTAAGAAAAAGATCGGAATGATGGTGATGCCAGACAACCCCAGATAGTCTACGTGGGTGGTTAAGATAGTGACGTCTTTGCTTTCTGATGGTTTGGTGTACACAAACACTTTTGGTCTCAAACATTTGGGGTAAGGAATACTCAACCTGTAGTATCTCTATCTCTTAGGATCATTGTGAGGACTAAATGGTTAATGTTCATAAAGTGCTTAGAACATCACCTGGCACATAGGAAGTGCTGTTGTGTATCTGTTAGGTAAATAAAGGATAAGAGGCCTCACAAAAATTTACTCTGGTGAATTTGCCATGTTGTAAGCTTTATAAGCTCAAAAATTTAATTTTGAGGGTGCAGTGACAATGGCTTTATCTCTCAAAGTAGACTCAAGTTATGCCAGATTACTAATGAGAAATGAAGAACTGTTCAACCTGAGAGAACCTGATTGGAAAAAAAAAAAAGAAAGAAAGATGAAGAACTGTCCTGTCATAGGGGGTCAGAGTGCTCACATTATTCAGTCTTTCAGTCAAATATTTACTGAGCACCTTCTGTGTGTCTGGCACTATTCTAGATGCTTGGGGTACGTCAGGAAACAAAATGAACAAATCTCCTCGTGGAACTCATATTCTAGTGGAGCGAGCACATTCTAGCTAGACTAGCACATTGTTTTCCTGCAGGCAGTTCTGCATGCAAAGCCAGCTTGTAATGAGAAGTTCGCCTAGCGAGCCTGGAAATCAGAACAGTGGTAATTAATTGTCTGTATTTCAAAACTGGGATTAATCTGTCTCAGAGTACCATTTAGGGGCCAGAGAAATTCAGTTGATAGGCCATGTCCCCTTGAGGCTAGACAGGGCTTATATGAGCACTGCCAGTTTTCAGTTCTTTGAGCAGAACAAGTGATTCTCAAGATGGCAGGGCATGTGTATTTACCATCCCATTTTAAAATCAGTGCATGTAATTGTACACTAATAGAAGTAACTGGGAAGAGAGAGTCATCTATGTTACAACATATCTATGCTATCCATGGTGTGGTGCCTGAAAAGGGTTAAGAACTCCTGGGCTGACCATCATCTTTGTATTTACACAGCCTAAAATGGTATACTATAAATTATTAAACATCTGTTATTATTACTATTGCTACTGTGTTCTTGGCCTGCCTTCAAAAGTTGTGCCCCATTCGCCTGAGAGGAGTGGACATACATAAACTCTTCAAACATATGTTTACTGCCAGTCTCTTGGTTTACTTTGACTGGTGACTAATTACCTCTCTTGAGTATATATACATTTAACTAATTTAAACCTTACCCAATTTCTCCTATTCTTAAGTGCTTGGACTACACATTTCCAATACCTGTAATCTTTTTCGTTGCATATTCCTTACTAAAAACAAGATCCTCAAGCAGTGTTTGAAAATACTGCTAATATCTTATTATGTTACCTTTCCTGCAAGGCATTTGCCTAGCCAGAATTCTCAGACTTAACACGTCCATAACAATGAAGAAATTTTGAAATTTCCAGTATAAATTTAGTGATAGCAAAGTAGAGTAAAAATCCTAACCAAAAAAAGGTAAAACTATACTTTGGTTTTGCAAATTAAAATTTCCAATATTTTTTTCTTTTACTGGATTAATTCCTGAGAGAGTTTTCCAATGTGGTTAACATTTCACTAGGATAGAAAATCTAAGAATGACTTGTCAGGAAATAAAAATGTGCTTTGCTTTGAAAATAAGTTCCTAGGGAAGAAAATTTTGTAACACATATGGGAGTGTGTACCAGCCAGCCACAAAACAAAAAACAAAAAACACATACGAGAGCAAAGACTTAATTTTCCATTACTGCCATGCATTACCTGTTTGATTTGAGGCAAATAGAACTCTCTGTGCCTTACTTTCTCATCTGTAAATTAGAAGTAATCTGATTTCATAGGGTTGACTTGAGGATTAACCATAAAGTAAGAAGACCCATGCCTGGCACATGATAAACTTTTAATAAATGTTAGCTCTTGTTATAACTTTCCCCTTATAAAAAAAAATCTTGGGGCTGGTCGGTTAGCTCAGTTGCTTAGAGCATGGTGTTATAACACCAAGGTCAGGGGTTCAGATCCCTATATTGGTCAGCCACAAAAAAAAAAAAGAAAGAAAAGAAAAGAAAAAGAAATCAAACCAATCAGATAGAAAAAATAGACAAGAGACATGAATAGGCTACTCACAAAAGAAATACAAATGGCCAGTAAACAAAGGAAAAGAAATTCAATCACACTACTCATAAAGAAATGCAATTAAAGTAACAGTGGGCTGTCTTTTTTTGTACCAGATTGGCAAAGTTTGGAAGAATGGATAACACATAGTATTAGCCATAATATAGGAAAAACAGACATTCTAATATGGTATGGGTGGAGTATAAATCGATAAAACAGTTTTGTAGGACAGCCTATTAAAATTGAAAAGATTCATGCCTTTTGTACAAATGCACAAAAATATGTACAGCAGTATTCATTAAAACATTAAAACAACATGTAATAGTGAAAAATTAGAATGACCTATCCAGCCATAAAAGAATGGTTACATTCCAATAGCCACCATTTCTTGAGTACTGACTCTGGGCCAGGCACTGTGCTTATGTCTGCAAAACTGTTTACATTCTTTAATCTTTACTCCAAGCCTGTGAGAGGCATTGAGAGCTCCATTTTATGGCTGAAAAAAGCTGAGCCTCAGTTAAGTCCAGGAATGTGCCCAGAGTCCACATTACTAGTAAGTGGCAGAGCCAGAAATTGAACTGACACCAAGGGCTCCGCTGTCCTGCCCTGTGCAATGGTGTGTGACAGCTGTTTTATAAAGTGGGCTAATAGACTATTACCAACCTGGCAGGATAGCCAAGATGTATTATGTGAAAAAGCGAGTTACAAAGCGGTATATATAATATTATTCCTTAAAATAAAACTGTTGATATGTTAATATATGTATCTAAAATGGGATTCACTATTTATATAATTTTAATTTTTCAACAAGCATGTATTACTGTTGTAATTTTAAAAGTATTTTTAAAAATCAAAGACATTTTCTAAGAAAAAGCAAAGTTTTTCACATTATTCCTTTTAATGTTTAGGTGATTCCAGTGAATTCTGCAGGCTCTCCTGTTGGGGATGTGCCATTCATCCGGTCAGGACTGCTGGGATTTGTAGGGCCAGTAAGTGATGCTTTCATGTTGATTTTGGTACATCTGGTCCAAATATTTGGACTGTAATTCACAGAACATAACAAATTCTGATTAGTTCAAGAGTGTTACAGGACCACTTATCTTATATTTAGAGCAGTTCCTATAAGAATGTCATAAAATGAGTTAATGTTTATTGCTTACATTACCCAAGTTCATTTGACTTCCTTAAAACTAAGACAAATTTTTTATTTTCAAAACTCTTTTCACTTATTCTTGCTGCTTTCATGATTTAATTAACATGTTGCAGTAAGTTAGAAGAGTATTGGAAAAAGTTACCTTCAGTAGCAAAGGTACATAGTGTACAAAGCATCTTCATACAAATTATCAGCACTATACCATGTGTAATAGTAAATTCTTTGAATGACAACAATTTGTTATTCAGCAAATGGTATTTATAGGCACTGGGTTTACAGAAACAATTAGGACATGAAAAGCCTGTTCTCAAAGAGCTCACAGTGAGCTTAATGAGCCCATGAGGATGGCAGAGAGCCAGGTCATGAAGGGCTTTGGCTTTGCATGATGTAATGGGAAGTTGGAATTTTATCCTGTAAGTAATAGGAGTCATTATCTTAGTTAAGCCCATATCCCTCCATCCATCTCTAATTACCTTCTACTCTTTCTTTCTTCTCCTCTTAAGTCACGTAAGAGAATATCTAATTTTATTTTATTTCTCCCTCACCATTTATGGGGTGGGGAGGATATGATCTAGGAGAATAACTCTCCTAGAAATAGTCTACACCTACTGTCTTGACTTTTTAGCTTAGTACCAGGAAGTTCTCAGACCCAGCTCCTTTTAGCTTACTGCTCCACTATTGCGTCCAAGATGGAGCTCCAGCCATCACATCTGCATTCCAAGAAACAGAGGAAAAGGTGTGGTCCTGCTCTCTCTTAAGGAAGCTTCCCTGAAGCTGCTGTGCGACACTTCCACTTATGTCTCATGGGTCTGCATTAGTCCACGGCCACACCTAACTGCAAGGCAGGCTGAGGTCCAGTCTTTTTTTTTTTTTTTTTTTTTTTTTTTTTTTTTTTTTTTTTTTTAATGGATCGCAACCCTCAGTGTTGCCCCCGTACCGGACCGGGGACCGGCAACGGGATTGCAACCCTCGGTGTTGCTCCCGCGCCTCGCTCAGCCAGTGAGCGGGAACCGGTCTGTATGTGGGATCCGAACCCTCGGCGGGAGCGCCGCCGTGCTTCCCAAGCGGCGCACTATCCAGTGCGCCACCGGGCCGGCCCCTCCAGTCTTTATTTTGATCAGCCATGCCCAGCCAAAAGTTCTCCTACAGTGAAAGAAATGGAGATGCGGACACTGGGGGACTAGCAGTGACTGTCTCATTCTTTTTGTGTCCAGCACCATAGCTTTTCAGACTGTGTTGGAAATGGCTGGTTCCCCTCTATCATCTGGGATGGACCAATAGCCTCTTGAGGATAGAGAGTATATCTTACTTACATAGCCCAGTCAGTACAGGGCAGTGCATTGTGCCCAGTAAATTGATGAGTGATATTCATGTGATGATAACTACTAGATAATCAAATATATGTAAATGGTCTAAGAAATTTAGCAATTCTGTAATGATTGAGAAAAGTTAATTTACTCCACATGGGTCTGGGAAGATTATTTATACAGTGATGCTTTGGGGTCTTTGATAGTAGAGTTTCCTTCTGCTCTTTTAACTTACTGGAGAAGAAAGGCTCCTACAATCTTCCTTAAAACTTTCTTGATTAGCCTCTGTCCAGTCTTGCCAGATAGAAACAGCATTACTCTTATAAGCGTGAAACAATCATTCTCATATTATAAAACTGTTTTAGGGGGCTGGCCAGTTAGCTTAGTTGGTTAGAGTGTGGTGTTATAACAGCAAGGTCAAGGGTTCTGATCCCCATACTCTCCCCCTGCCAAAAAAATTTTAAAAATTAAAAACAGTAAAACTGTTTTAATCTCCTAATTCCAATAGTAAATGAACATTTTTCTTCTCTGTATTCATCCTATGAATAGGTACAAAAGGTAATCATGGCTGGGAAAATAAACTATGCTGTGTGAAGTCCTAGTTGCTTTCTTTATTTTTTTCCTAAAATATTTATTTTTGATTTTATATATTTATGGGGTACAGAGTTGACTGTCAGTATTTGTGTGTAGTATGTGATGATCAAATCAATATTATTAGCATGTTCATCATTACAAATCGTAATTATTCTTTGTGCCCCTTACCTAATTACTCCCTAGTTTCCCTCCCTCTCCCCCTTTCCCATCTCTAGTAACTATAGGTCTGTTCTCTCCTTCTGAGAGTTCAGTGTTTTATTGTGGTCTCTTGTAGCATTCTTCCCTAAGATTAAATATGAAAAAATTCCCTTCTCACACACCGTAAGACCCCATTGGCTGTAAGATGTCACTGATTTCAGAGATGTCAAGATGTGAAACTCTTTGGAATCCATAAAATATGGCATTGTTTTCTTTCTTGTATTTTTTAAGGATATTTACTTGAAGGCAGGAACTAAAATATGTGTGTTTTACTATTTAAATCATGGAAGTCAAAATAAATCATTGTTACCTTTCAGGGTAGTTTGGTATTTGTGGTTGGAAAAATGGACGGATTACTGATGGTTAGTGGTCGAAGACATAATGCCGATGACATTGTTGCTACTGGATTGGCTGTTGAGTCAATAAAGACCGTGTATAGAGGAAGGTGAGTAGTACGGGGTTCAAATGTTAGCACTTCCGATGGAGTCTAAATAGGTCTCCACAGAGTGGTTTGAGTTGTAGTCTGTAGGTTCTCTTTGCACGTAATTAGGTTGTTCTTGGTTAAGCATAGCAGAAGCCTGACTTTGATATATATCTTACAATATCTGGTTCTTTGGCTGCAATTGAGAGGAATAACTATATCCTGTTTTTCAGATTTTAATTATTATATTTGTTGAGTCCTGAGAACTGAGGAGAATTCTAAAATAGTTGAACTTCCTCCATTTCTTTAATACAGAAGTAGTGCCATTAAGACTGAGATTGACGCTATTCTATAGGAGTCTACATCTAAGATTATTTCTCTTGTTTCTAACTAAATTATTATACTGTTTTAATACACATAAGTGCTCATTTCAGATTACATTAATGAAGTCAATTAAATATCTTTTTTCTTTACTTATTAATGCAAGAAGAGATATTTGCTATATATTTGAGTAGTTGATATCCTATTCAGCAAATCGAGATCATGGGTATATATCTTCAGAACAACCTTGGTGTCCCTTTAGTTTTTTAAGTAAGAAAAATTAAACCATGAAGAACTAGTTCCTGAAATGTGTAGTTTTGGTAATGGTGTGGCTTCCTGTGAGAGGTAAACTCCATGGGGCACTAGACCTTCTGTCTTTGGTCATGGTGGCATCCCCATGACCTGGCACATAGCAGATGTTCAATAAACGTGTGGAAGGAAGGAGGAAAGGGAGTCAGATGGGTGCTGGTACATTCAGCTCTCTAGTGGCTTCCCATTTTTTCCATGCATTCAGTCAACAAATATTTATTGGAAGCCAACTATGTTCTGCTATTCTAGATGCCTCAACTGCAGTAATGAACAGAACAGGCGAAGTCTCTGCCCATGTGAAGCTCACTTTCTTATTGCAGGAAGCTGACAGTAACCAAATAAACAGGGAAATAGATACCATGCGACATGGTGACGAGTGCTGTGGAAAAGAAGCACACTGGGGCAGGGGTGGCTTGCTAGTTTGTATGAGGTGGTCTGGGCATGCCTCACTAGTAAGGGGACATTTGAGCGGAGACCTCACTCAGAACCAACTCTGTCCCCCCCTCAGCCTCCCAGGTGCTCCGCGATCCGCCCTGGCCTGTGTCTGACCTCTCCCTCCCGCTCTCTGCTTCACCACTTTGCTCCAGGCACACTGGCCTTCTCGTTGTTCCTCAAACCTGCCAAGTTCGTCCCTACCTCAGAACCTTTTCGCTTTCCGTTCCTTCTGCCCGGAATCCTCTTCCTCCAGATCTTCGCGTGGCTCGCGTCCTCACTTCATTCAGGTCTCTGCTCCAGTGTCCGCTCCTCAGGGAGGCGCTCCCCAACCAGCCTGCGTTCAGTAGCACACCACCCCACACACCTCCACCCGCTTGTACAGTGCAGCCTGACATTGTTACATACTTACTTGTTCGTTCTGTCTCTAACTCGTAAGCTCCGTGAAGACAGGAACTTTGTCTTATTTATCGCTATGTCCCCAACATTCATGACAGTGGTGCTTAATACATGTTTTTTGAATGAATGAAAGTCTTCATGTTGATGGTAATGGTTGTGGTATTTTCTAAACTATTCATTTCAGGGTGGTGTGGTGGTGATGTCCCCTCTCTGTAATTCCAATTAAGCAAAGTAGATGGGACTGCTTGTGAAGGGAGTCCTGATGTGTCTGATCTGTCTCTCTTAGAATTGCTGTGTTTTCTGTGTCTGTATTTTATGATGAGCGCATTGTGGTGGTTGCGGAACAAAGACCTGATGCTTCTGAGGAAGATAGTTTCCAGTGGATGAGCCGTGTGCTGCAGGTAAGCACACTTTGGGGTCTGGGTCTCATCAGAGGTGGCAGCAACCATTGCTTAAACATTTTCCTTGATGGGCCGGTTATGCCACTTTATTTTTTCTTGCTGATCATTGTTCAGATATACTGGATACTGTTAGCAAAATCAGATCATTAATACAATTTCTCCTTGTGGACCACATAGTGTTTTTCTACTCAGGTTGCCAGTAACAATAGATTTGACTTGCCTCAGCATATTCTTTCGTGCTGAGTGTTTACTAGCGCCGAAAGTTTTAACTGTTCATGTGTGGAGCACATCTTTGGCAGTAAGTAGTGCCATAAGTTGTGCCTAGAATGTGAGGGATCCAAAAAAATGTGTTATTCTGACTGTGAAGGAGCTTTACTCTAGAGTTAGAGAAGATGTTAGGGAAAGAGAATGATTTGGGCCCGATATAAGGGATGTGTTTTTGGTGGGGAGCAGGCTAGAATGATGTAAAGAGTCTAGTCTCCATTTAGAATTACTGACTTTGAATCCCAGTTCCTCTCCTTACAGACATGTGCCCTTGTGCGAGTTACTTAACCTCACTGAGTTTATTTCCTCCACTTCCTGTGAAGTGGAGATAAGATTATCTATTTTACAGAGTGACTGGAAGGGTTAAATGAGATAGTTAATTGAAGTATATAGTGTCTGCATTCAGTAAATAATGATGGTGATTATTTTTAACATCAAAAATAATGATCATAATAAGCTTAATCTCCAATAAAGAAGTCCACTCTATTTTAAATAATATTCCTTTCACTCTTCTTTATTGTTCTAATTAACATTTATCTCCATATAAGTATGTTTACATTTATTAATTGTTTTCTACATTCACTATAATATAAGCCCCACGAAGGCCATGACTTGTCTCTTGTTCACTACTCAATCCCCAGAGCCTGATAGCTATGCCGACATGTCTTAGTAGGCTCAGTAAATATTTGTTGGCTAAATGGATGGTCCAGAGAAAGCAATAACTTACGTATATTATTGGAAGTGCTTCCAATGTCTTTAACTTCTCTTCTTGGGACATTTGGATTTACTAACTGCCAGTTAGTAGTAATGTAGAAACAACACATGCATGAGATGAGTGACAGGGCTAGATGACTTTTAAGATTTCTTTCTATCCTCAGGGTCTGTGGTTCTGAGGTATCAGTTGGTGTAGCATAGGCTATTTGTAGTAGGAAATCAGAGAAAACAAAATCTACTGAAGGTAGACTAGACAGAAAAGATTAAGAAGAAGGTAGGACTGGCTGATCTCTGAAAGATAGCTAAGGTGCAGACATGCAAAGAGAATATTTTTCATACCATTCATATTTTCTTTTTTTTTAAAAAAGATGACCAGTAAGGGGATCTTAACCCTTGACTTGGTGTCGTCAGCACCACACTCTCCCAAGTGAGCTAACCGACCATCCCTGTATAGGAATCCGAACCGGTGGCCTTGGTGTTATCAGCACCGCACTCTCCCAAGTGAGCCATGGTCTGGCCCTATACCATTCATATTTTCAAACAAACAAAAACCTGCTTATTTTGTTCAGGATGAACTTTGGGGCATATTGGTAGAATCTTGTGGTAAATTACATATTTTTTTGCTGTATAGAAAAGTGAGTGTATCTGAAATTTCCCAAGATACTTGTTACTTTTCCCTAGAAAGCAACTGTAGGAATTAAATGCAGTGCCAACTTACTAATCAAAATTCTTGTAAAAGTCATTTGGGGTCTGACTGGAGTATGAAATAAGAGGCCGCTGTTTTCCCAGTGTCTGTAAATTCTTTAGGCATTTGGGTCCATAGTAGAACAGTAAAGGACACCATATGTTCTAGTAGGTTAGAGGCCAAAGGTTATTTAATTCCAGATCTGTTTATAACATAAACTAAATACCTAACTAAGCACCGTCTGAGTAAAGGTGGTTAGTAATTGTGTTTTCAGTGAGGAATCCAGGCTACATGTAATATACTTGCCAACTTTCTGTGTATTCTAGAAGAACAGAAACTTAGGAACTCTGCCAGACTTCCTGTTTCCTAGTCATCCGTGTTGCTTAGAAAGATAGTCTCAGGAATATGATTTTCAAGTTTATTCCTTTGCCCTTTTAAATTGTTTTAATAAAAGGCTTTGTCTACCTTTTATGACTGTTAATTCATTCTCCTTCTCAGTAAGACTTATGGGAAATAACGATAGAACCCTCTTAACTGATATGTTTGGAATTGGTATTAATGGTTGGTCAGTTTTAAAAGGTAGCTGAAGCAGAAAATCATAAAAATGAGAAATTTTTGAAGTATTAAATTTTAACATAAAACATGTAACTGTATTCATTTGATATAGAGCAGTGTGATTATGAGCATACCAGTTTGAGTTCTAGGTCAACTTACCTCCATAAACTGTATCCAAATGCATCATCTTTGGTTTCTGGTTTTGTTTCCTTTAAGTTGGAACTGGAACGCAGGTATTTGAAAAGTGATCAAATAGATAATGCTTATCGGTAGGATTAAATTGCCCATACCTCACAACAGTAGTTTTTTTAGGAGCTCACTTTTAGTGTATTTTTCCAAAGCATAACTTTTTCTGGTTTTTGGCATTCATATTTTACCAATTGATGTAATGTTTAATTAAGTCATGTGAACATGATACAAGAACTGTCACGAACTGTGTGGAAACACAGCTAACTGTCAGCAAGCATACGGTTACATGGCTGGGAGCAGAGGTGCACCGAGGGGAGCTTGTGACCTCCAGTGCTAAGGGTGCTGCGGGCCATGCCATGGATGTTTTGCAGAGGGGATGAATGGTGACATGCTAAGTCACATAAGTGGGGGCCCATTCAGAGAGCTTCCATTGTGTTCATAATAAAAATACTTTGCCTCCATCTAATTGAGCTATGTTGGACAGCTAAAAGATCAAAAGAACTAAAACAAATTCCTAGGTTTCTGACATCACTTAAGAGAGACCATACTGAGGCTTTCAAATCAATATTCACCTCTGTCCATTTAGATTGTGTCTTACCACTCTTCTGTTAACCTCTGCCATAGCTGAAAGATGTATGAGATCTTTATGATTATCTTTAGATTTTTAGATGTATGGAATCTTAATGATCTACCAGATTCTAGAACTCGAATGGATAGAGAAAGAAAAATCCTAGAGTAATATAATGGATTATGTCAGGAGTATGTCAAATGTAGTGAACGTAATCTCATTGAGTGTTTTTCTTTGTATTTTTCTAGGCAATTGATAGCATTCATCAAGTGGGGGTTTATTGCCTTGCTCTGGTGCCTGCCAATACATTGCCAAAAACTCCACTAGGAGGGATCCATATATCTCAGACAAAACAGCTCTTTCTGGAGGGATCTCTACATCCTTGCAACATCCTCATGTGCCCACATACATGTGTGACAAATTTGCCAAAACCCCGGCAAAAGCAACCAGGTAATATGCTAACTTCCAAGACATAACATTAAAATTGTAACTTTAAGAAGCTGATTTCTCTCAGTGTGAGTCTTACTCTGGAATTAGACTTTACAAAGATTAGTAACACAAGAATAGCATCAGATGACCCAAAACAAGGAGTGAGACCCTGCAAAATAGGCTCCTTTGGGTTTACAACTGTCTCCCTCTTCTGGACAATTCTCAGTATCATTCCTCCATTTCCCCTAAAGTATAGGTCAAGATGATCAGAATCCCACTGTAGAAGCAGAAGAAAATAAGTCCTGTAAGAGAAGGTTCTGATAATAAGAATCACTAGTATTTAGTGTGTACTTACTAAATGCTGCATAATAACTAAGCATTTTACATATGTGATCCTAAAGCCTTGTCCCCAGCTATAGAAAATAAAGTTCAGAAAAAAGTATCATGCCCAAGTCACATAGCTGAATTAGTGACAGGGCTGAGATTAACACTAATTGTGACTGAAATCCACACTCTGAATTATTATGCTGTACTGCATTTCTGTTGGGACTCTCTTATCTCTCATTCCTTTTTAGCTCTAGGGGTCTGATTTGGGACCATAATACTTCTAGGGAACAAGATACTTAATTCAGAAAGTAAGCTCAAGGTAAATAGCATGCTTTGCATTTGCCCTGTTCCTGTGAGTTGAAGCAACTTAAGAGTGTATGAGTTGCCATGTGGAAAAAGAGAAAAAACAAATAGTCAATTTTACCTTTTTGCCTTATTTCTGAGCAGACCTAGATTACAAGGCTGACTGGGTAGGAGGCTAAGGGCAGGAGTAATTGGTTGATCATAAGTCATGTTAAAATACCTGTTAACTCCAACATGGGATTTTTAAGTTTTATTGGTGCTTTTTCATTTTAAGAGAAGTTAGTGAGAGGCTCCTAGTTTCCTAAATGCCTGAAAACACGTGAAAGCCAAAATCTGGCCTCTGCAGATCCCCCTCACCACCCCCCCAGACACACAGTATACGTCAGTCTCCAGATGCTGGGAAGAGATGATGTAAGTGAGAAGATGAGAAAGGGGAAGGGGAAGTGTGGTATTTAATTTAATTTCTGTAAGACAGCTTCTGTTAAAAGGTGAACGTGATGTACAATAGTAAAATATAAGGTAAACCTCTGACTCCCTAGGATATTTTTATCAGGATCTTAAGATGTTAATACACTGCAGTCATTACTTCAGTGGTCTGGTGGCTGAAGATCATATCACACTTGTTTATCTAGATTTTATTGTCAACTCATCCAGTACTCTTATTAACAGTGTGTGTAGAGCTAAAGTATGATATTCATCAGTTTCTGCTACGAAAGAGTTCATGGAGGCTAATATTCTAAAGGGGCAGTCAAAATCAAGAAGTCTATGTTATTAACAAGAAATGTATAAAAAGAAGTATCTTCAAACACATTACCTGCCTATGCATATGACAGATACATTAAAACATACAAATCTTTCTCCATCTCAAATTCTGTTACACTGCCCTATAAGGAAAATCATATGTTACATTTGTCATATGAGTAAAATCCTATTTTAAATAGCATTTAATCTTTAATTCTTTTAACTAAACATTACTATTGTGGTAGTTACTTAAGAAGATTTTGCTTAGAGTCATAGCACATACTTAAAAGTGCTTTTGCCAGTCAGGTTTCAACCAATTTTATTACAGATAAAACTTACATAAAAGACTTATTCCTCGGGCCGAGTCCGTGGCGCACTCGGGAGAGTGCGGCGCTGGGAGCTCAGCAGTGCTCCCGCCGCGGGTTCGGATCCTATATAGGGATGACTGGTGCGCTCACAGCGCTCACTGGCTGAGCGTGGTGCGGCCGGTCTCAAAAAGGACAAAAAAAAAAAAAAAGACTTATTCCTAAGCTTCTAAAGGCATAGCAGCCATTTCATCCTGTCTGAGGAAAGCAATATGTTGGATTCAGGTTTTTCTTTCTTGTTGTTGGTGCCTGCTAAGATCTTAGTTGGATGCATATGAACAGGACCAAAGCAATTTGAAAATCATGGCGCAGACAGTGGTGGAGATGATGAGGGATAGCATGAGAGTTTGGGGTTGAAGAAGAATATGGGAAAGAGGAGATGGGTAGGGAGTGAAGTAAGAAAGGAAAAGGAAGATGCAAAAGGTGCGAAGGCAGCCCAGAGGCAAAAATGTCATTGAGATGCGTATTGGAGCTATTGTGGAAAGAATGAGAGTGCGTTAGTTAGGACTGGTCTTGGCTGCAAGTTGCAGAAAAACGTCACAGCAGCTTAAAGGAGATACAGATTTCTTTCTTTCTAAGGTAAAAGAAATTTAGAGTTAGGCAATCCAGGGCCGGGATGGTCACTCCTCAGTCGTGTTCTACCAGCTCCCCGTCTTTTTGCAGCATTGTTTTATCAGTCAGCTGTTGTTACAGATATACTACATAACAACCCTAAAACTCAGTGCCTGAGAAAACAAGCATTTATTTTTCACCATGGAATGTGGATCTGGGCTTGGCTGGAGTCAACTGGACTTGACCTGGTTCCAGGCTGTCAGTTAGGTTCAGACCTGTTCCATGTGTTTCCTCATCACGGGATCAGCAGCTACCTGGGCCATATTTTTCTCAAGGCAGATGGTAGAAGTAAGAAGGCAAGCCAAACCACACAAGCATATTTAAAGCTTCTGTTTGTGTCACGTTTCCTAACATTTCATTGTCCAAAACAAGTCAGACCATGCCCAGAGTCAGTGGAGCAGAGAAGTACCTCCTCCCACGTAACCACAGCTAGGACAGGAAGGAAAGGAAGGATTGTGAGAAAATAAAACAGCCCCACCACAGCCATCCTCAGCATACTGCCTCAGGGTCCGTTCGGCTCCCTGACCTCCAGCTATCATTTCTACATTCCAGTTAGCAGGTAGGGGGAAAAGGTACAGAATGAATACCCTTCCCTTTAAACGTGTTTTCTAGGACTAGCCTGTTAGCTCACTTAGAGTGTGGTTCTGATAACACCAAGGTCACAGTTTTGGATCCCCTTACCAGCCAGCTCCCCAAAACAAAAACAAAACACATGTTTTCTAGAAATTGTGCATATGAATTTCTCTTACATATTACTCTCCCACATTAAAAAGTATAGTCTTCATTCCAGGCATATGTCCAGCTGGGGTCTGTTATTAAGGAAGAAGAGGAGAGTAGGTGCTGGGGTTGATAACTGCAGTTTTTGCCACAGAAAATTTATAGGGAAGGCATATTTACAGGTACAGCAATGTCTGCAATTAGCTTCCTGGAGTATTCCTTTCAGTATTTTTCACTTTCTGTGACCCATAGACCCCAGAAATGCACACAGAAGAACTTCCAGAAATTGGGGGTTGTGGGGGGAATTCCTGCTGAATTATTTTTGTTTGAAACTACCCTGCAAAATTCACTTTTTTTTTTTCCTTTTTTTCTTTTTTCGTGACCAGTAACGGGATCGCAACCCTCAGTGTCGCGCCCGTACCATGACCAGCAATGGGATCGCAACCCTCGGTGTCGCGCCCACACTGCGCTCAACCAGTGAGCGGACCGGTCTCTATATGGGATCTGAACCCTCGGCGGGAGTGCCACCGCACTCCCAAGTGCCGCACTCTACCGAGTGCGCCACCAGGCCGGCCCCAAAATTGACTTTTTAAAATGTCATGCCTTTATTAATTTTACAATATGAATCCAGGATTAGTCAATTGACACAGTCAAATACACTCTGAGTCTCTGCCTGTATAAGAGGCTATCTCTAACATGATATATTTGTGATTTATTATGCAGTTTCTCAGGAAGGAAGGTTGCATATTATACTTAAATTGCAGTTGCCACTTTGTAGACTAAAACTGTTTGGCAGTCAGAGTGTTTACCTTGTTGTAATTTTTAATTTTTTTTAACCATTCATTCTGAAAAAATTTCAAAAAAGTTACCAGATGATACAAAGAATTCCTTTACATCCTTTGATCAGCTTCTGTTAATATTTACCCTTTTAAAAGTGATTATATGATTAAAGTGATTTTGTTTCATCTGTTTCAATATATTCAGGATCAACAGATTTTGACAATCAAAGATATTTAATATTAATCCAATGTAACATCAGTGTTAGTTAAAACCCAGCTGGCAATAAGTTTTTATTATCTTTCCTCCATCTTCTGAGTTCCGTGTGGTGGAATCTTCATCTTTCATTGACCATCAGAAAGACATACAGTGCCCTAGCACTTTTGAGATGGGAAGGGTTACCCCTGTTTATTTTGAAGTGTCAAACCTATGGAAAGGCGTAAAGAATAGTACAGTGATCACCCATATACCTTCCCCCAGATTCATCAATTGCTGAAATTTTTTCACTGAACTCTGAAAGTAAATTGCAGAAATCATGACACTTCACCCCTAAGTATTTTAGCATGTTTATTTCCAAAGAACAAAAACCTTCTCCTAAAAATTTTCCTAATTAGCAATGATGTCATTATCTTGTTAAGAATTTTAACCTTAATATAATGCTATCATCTAATAATAAACAGTTCATATTTGGATTTCTTCACTTGTTTATTATAGCTGATTTTTAAAAAATCCAGTATTCAGTTAAGGTCATGCATTGCATTTGGCTGTCATGTCCTTTAATTTAGAGGCTTGAAGCCCTATTTTGTCTTTAAACATGGACGATTTTGAAGAGTCCAGGCTAGTTGTCTTGTAGAATGTCCTACAGTCTGTATTGCTTTTTTTTTGGCAGGGAGGTGCTGGGGTGCAGCTGGCCAGTACATGGAATCTGAACCCGTGACCTTGGTGTTATAAGGCTGAACTGTAACCGGCCAGCCCTGTGTTTCACTATTCATTTTTTATGCAGCACTTCTGATATTCCTGATAAATTCACTCTCGGTCCTCATAGGTGGTAGATTTCTGTCCAAAACATATTTATTACTGTCAGGCCCTCTTTTAGGGTAGTATTGTGATTGGAAACAGATGAAGTTATTTTTAGTAGGAATCAGTACAACCAGCTGTCACTTCCTCAGAGTGAAAATTTCTTTGTATGCCAAGCTGCAGTAGCCAACCTGCACCCCTCTCTCCCTCAACCCCTGTCTCTCCTGTGGTCCTGTTTTGTTCTTTTCTAGCACTTGCTGCTACCTGAGTTTATTTATTTGTATATGTACTTCTTGGTTGCCTTTCTCCACTACAATATAAGCTCTTTGCTGCCATGTCCCTAACGCCTCCAAGAAAGCTTAGTCAGTATTGTTGAATGAATGTTTCACCCAATTTTGGTCAGTCTGGAAATGCTTGGGGATATGTAGCTTGAATTGCTATCTCGAGAAAGTTGATTTTTGCCTTTATTTATAGGTGTAGGCCCTGCTTCTGTGATGGTTGGGAATCTGGTTGCCGGAAAACGCATAGCACAAGCTGCTGGAAGAGATCTGGGACAAATAGAAGAGAATGATTTAGTGAGGAAGGTTAGTGTTCCAGAAGTGTTGTCTTTTTACAGACAGGTCAAGGACAGAACTTGTACTTCAGGTATCAGATGGGGGGTGCATTACACTTTTTTAAAGTTGCTGACCCTGAGTCTTTTTTCTGCTTTATGATTTTAGCACCAGTTTCTGGCAGAGATTTTACAGTGGCGAGCCCAGGCAACTCCTGACCATATACTCTTCATGCTGTTAAATGCCAAGGTATTAAAAATTCAGTTGTTTGTCTAATCAGCTGAATACTGTGGGAGAATCTTAGGCACTCTTGATCTCTTTTTTTTTTTAATCTGAACATTTATATTGCTACCTCTGAGGAAGGAGTTACTGCTTTCTCCTTGTTTCAACATAGGAGGATAACTGTGCAGTCACTTTAAGGTTGAAATGAGACCTGGAGAGTTATTTAATATTATCTTTTCTTGTGTTACAGTCAAGTCTTCCTTATCCAGTTCTGATAGGAACAATGGGGCCAACACTGCAATTATATAAATATACAGATGTGTAGAGTGCGTTATGTCATGCAGTTTTTTACCCAATTTGATTTGTAATTCTTTGAGTTCTGCCAGGAAGAAAATGGCTTTAGACCAACATTTTAAAAACCAGTCATTTTTGGGCCGGCCCGGTGGCGCACTGCTACAGTGCGCCGCTTGGGAGGGCGGCGGCACTCCCGCCGAGAGTTCGGATCCCATGTACAGACCGGCCGCTCACTGGCTGAGCGAGGTGCGGGCACAACACCGAGGGTTGCGATCCCGTTGCCGGTCCCGGTCCAGTACGGGTGTGACACTGAGGGTTGCGATCCGTTGCCGGTCACGAAAAAAGACAAAAAGGAAAAAAAAAAAAAAACCAGTCATTTTTAGTATGTGCTTAGATGATGTTTTGCTAAAAGATAAAAAGCGAATTTAAAATTATTCAAGAGTACATTTAACTACTGGTTTCTAATGGATGGTTCACTATAACATTGTATTTTGTAAGTTATGCAGTCTATGGGAGTCTGCTGAGTTTTGTGTTTGTTTTAATGGCCAAGTCACAGGCTAAAAGTACTGTGACCATGTGCATAGCAGTGTTTCTCCCCAGCAGTGGAAAGGCCTATCGGATCTCTTAGGGGACTTATCTGAATTGCCCTCATCTGTCCTTGTCCCCCTAGAATCTGATTTTTCTTTTTTGAGAATTCATACATTGTTAGAACTTAGAACTTAACAAGAGGAATATGCTGTGCATCTTTGTGAAAAGTCGTTAAAAACCTTAAGAATCACTGCTTTTATGATAGAAAACTTGGGGACTTCCTTGCTCCACTTCTCCATGATGTGGCCTTCTCTCCAAGTCTGTGGATTCATTAAGGTCCCTACATTTCATTAAGAAGATGTCAGCACAGCTTACTCTCAAGCCTGGCTGTGGCAAAAGTTATGGTGTTGTGAAATCCATAACCCAGATATTTGTTCAAGAGAATAAGTTTATTTTATTTATTTATTTATTTATTTTTTTAAAGATGACCGGTAAAGGGATCTTAACCCTTGACTTGGTGCTGTCAGCACCACGCTCAGCCAGTGAGCGAACCGGCCATCCCTATATGGGATCTGAACCCGGGGCCTTGGTGTTATCAATACCACACTCTCCCGAGTGAGCCACGGGCCGGCCCAAGAGCATAAGTTTAAATTTGCTTCTTGATTAGAGAAATAATATACATGGTTGACTGCCTAAAGGACATGTAATCCACTTATTCTTCTGTATATTCTAGTATTTTACCTTGCGTTAGCCCAGAACGCCAGAAAGCTTAGTAACCATACAACATTGTTCCCTCATGCCTAGAACATTGTTTTTGCTGAACTTTGGTCTGCTGCTGTACCATGGACCAAAAAAGAAGAATGTTATAAGAAATGGCTTTATGAATTTAACACTGACTTAGCCAAAGGGATATTCATTTTAATGTTATAAACTTAATGTCCAACAACAGACAATTAGCTAACTAAATTATGGCATATAAATATAAAATACTATGCAGCTGTTCAAAACAATGTTGTAGAAGAATATTTGATGATTCAGAAAATATTCATAATGTATAAATGGAAAACATGGGATATAAAACTTTGGTAATTGAATGCTTACTGAAGACCCTGTTCTAGGTGCTTTACATTTCATAGTTCGTTATAAGGCTGAAGAAACTGAGGCACAGAGGTCACAGAACTAGTAAGTGGTAGGGCTTGGGAATTGGCTCTTTACTTTCATTTGAACCCAAACTGGCTTCAGAGCCCACATTCTTTTTTTTTTTTTTTTTCCTTTTTGTCTTTTTTTCGTGACCGGCAACGGATCGCAACCCTCAGTGTCGCCCTGGGACCGGCAACGGGATCGCAACCCTCGGTGCTGTGTCTGCACCTCGCTCAGCCAGTGAGCAGCCTTTCTGTATGTGGGATCCGAACCCTCAGCGGGAGCACCGCTGCGCTCCCAAGCGGCGCACTGTAGCAGTGCGCCACCGGGCCGGCCCCAGAGCCCACATTCTTTACCAGTGTACTACACAGCCTCTGACAGATAATATAGTATGATTTTTTTTTTAAGTGTTGCATGTGAATTTATATATAAGATATACTCATTTTGGGGGCCGGCCCGTGGCGCACTCGGTAGAGTGCGGTGCTAATAACACCAAGGCCCCGGGTTCGGATCCCACATAGGGATGGCCGGTTCGCTCACTGGCTGAGCGTGGTGCTGACAACACCAAGTCAAGGGTTAAGATCCCCTTACCGGTCATCTTTTAAAAAAAAAAAAAAAAAAAAAGATATACTCATTTTTTAAAGACCAGGCAAATACATACTGAAATGTTAGTAATGGTTACATCTTACCAGAGAATTATATTTACTTATCTATATTTTCCAAATTTTCTATACTGAACATGTACTATTTTATATTCATGAAATTTTAAAAGTTTGTTTTTTGGTGGCTGGCTGGTACGGGGATCTGAACCCTTTGTCCTTGGGGTTATAACACCAAAAAAAATTTTTTTTTAAAGAAACAGCTCAGTAAAACTTGTGCTTATTGTAAGATTTTTATGAGTTATAAAGTTATAGTGATTGACAAAATGTGGTATTATCATGATAGACAAAGAACAACCATCTGGTATACAGTTTGTCATCATCCTATAAATTAAAGATCAGCAACCTAGTTAGCCAGCAATTTCATTTCTAGGTCTATATGCCCTATCAAAATTCATATGCACCAGGATACCTGTACAAAAATGGCAATGTCCGTCAGCAGTAGAGTGGATAGATAAATTGTCACATGTTCATACAATGAAATGTTATATAGCAGCAAACACAAATGAAATATACCTACACACAGCAGCATAGATGACTCTTAAAATAATGTTGAATAAAAAAACCAAAATACAAAAGATACAGTACAATTCCATTTATATAAAATTCAAATATCCCATGGGTGGTAAAAATAAAAAGAAAATAAACCAGTGATTAACATAAAGTCAAGACAGTGGTTACCTATGGAGGGAAAGAGAAGGCTGTGAGTGGGGAGACCCATAGGGTGCTTTTAAGCTGCTGGCAGTGGTCTTCACCATGTCATTCTGGTGCTTGCACAGATGCTTGCTACATGCATGTTTTACACCTTTTGCCTTATGTGTGTTATATTTCACAAGGGAAAGGGTTTCAGAAAGCCTAGCTCAGTGAAACTCTGTGAAGACCTGCAGGAGAAATTATTCTTAGGATCAGAACTAGCTGGACATCTTCTAATCACCTAATCTTTATTATTACCTAGTGGGGTCTAATTCATTGTTACTGTTTTTGTTTACATCTTTATTGTTGGAAAACTGAGAGCCAAATTTGTGTTTTGTACAGCAAATGCACATGACCACATGGGTAGCAGTTACAGTACCAACCTCACTCCTGCCCTCATCCTGCTTTCATACCCATTAATTTCCCTGTACTCTTATGTCCTCACTTAAAAAAATTTAAAAATCCTGGGCCGGCCCGGTGGCGCACTGCTACAGTGTGCCGCTTGGGAAGTGCGGCAGCGTTCCTGCCGAGGGTTCAGATCCCACATACAGACCGGCCACTCACTGGCTGAGCGAGGAGCGGGGGCAACACCGAGGG